AAGAGCGTGACACGCGCGTGAGATAAACGGAGGCAGAGCTGACAGGTGCTCCGGCTCCCACCGCCACCCAACACCTGCGCGCGCGCCCCTACGCGTGCGCGCGCGCACACACACGGCCCATCTTAACGACCCTCGCACAGACTGAGAGCAACAGGTTGGTGAAACTGAATAAAGCGGGCGCGCGGGGCCCGGTGTAGACTTACAGGTAGGATGTGAACACGCTCAGGTTCCCCGGGACCGCCCGGAGCCCCAGGTCCGCGCAGTCGGCCCGGTGCCGCAGCCCGTGGCCCTCGCAGCGGCAGCGGGGGGGGCACGCGGAGCCCCGGGGTCCGGCCGCCAGCAGCGCGAGGGCCGCCAGCAGAGCCGCAGGCACGCGCATGTCCGGCGCGCGCTCCCCCTCGAGCCTCCGGGTTTCTCCGGGTTTCTCCGGGTTTCCCCGGTCTGAAACGGTTCCGTGCCCCGGTCTGAAACGGCTGGACTCTGCTGGGTCGCGTGGGCTCGGTGTGCAGGCTGGTGGCTGTCCAGGCTGCGCGCGTGGGGCTGCAGAGCGCGTGCGAACGTGAGTGTGAGCGTGCCTCCACTCACTGCAGAAGCGCGTGCAGCCCGGTGTGCTTTTATAGAGCCGGAGGGAGAGGACCCGCTCCCCCCGAACAGAGCAGGTCCATCAGGTCCCACTCCTCCACCAGGAAGAGTTTGAGAGGATAAAAACAGATAAAGGGGTTGGATAGAAACTAAAACAAAACGTTTGGAGTATTTTAGGCAGAAGTTTGTTCTTTTCCTCTGATGTGGAGAAAAAACCTGAAAAAAACGGAGTAACTGCATATAGCTACTTACTATGAGTTACTACGAGTTATTATGAACTACTATTAGTTACTATGAGTTACTATTAGTTACTATGAGTTACTATGAGTTACTACAAGTTACTATGAGTTACTATGAGTTACTACGAGTTACTATGAGTTACTACGAGTTACTATGAGTTACTATGAGTGACTTTGAGTTACTATGAACTACTATAAGTTACTATGAATTACTACGAGTTACTATGAGTTACTATTAGTTACTATGAACTACTATAAGTTACTATGAATTACTACGAGTTACTATGAGTTACTATGAACTATTATTAGTTACTATGAGTTACTATTAGTTACTTTGAGCTACTATGAGTTACTATGAGTCACTATGAGTTACTATGAGTTACTACAAGTTACTATGAGTTACTATGAGTTACTATGAACTACTATTAGTTACTATGAGCTACTATGAGTTACTATGAGCTACTATGAGTTATTCTGAGTTACTATGAGGTACTATGAGTTACTATGAGTTACTATGAGTTAACAGGGAAAGACAAATGTAACTTGAACTTATATCTGGGCAGATATGATCCATTAGTCCAGGTTTGTGTTTTAAAAACGTGAGCAGCTAAACTCCAAATCAGGTTTCAGAGCCCAAAGTAAACTCAGTCCTCACTACAGTAAAAACTGAACAGTTTCAAATAAAAATGCAACAAATCAACTGAGAGCTTCTGATTTCGTCACATGATCAAAAACACTTGAGTGACATGAGTGACAATCCCTTCATTTTCTACAGTTCAGCTTGTGAGAATATATCAAAGCAAATAAAAAACAACTAAGACTAAAGGAGATTTTTCTTCTTTTGAGTCTCTTCAATGCTTTTCACACACTTTCTGTTCAGTTTTCAGTTTTTGTTGTGTTGTCGGCTCCCATCTGATGATGTTTTGTGTTGATTGTAGAGCTGGAATGACACAACCAACCATCAGTCAGTACAGATGTGGTGGAAGTTTGCCCGGTTTGAGGCTCCCAGCAAAACCACCCGGGGGTTAAAAACCCAGGAGCTGTGTCTCAGGTCAGAGGTCAAAGGTCAGGACAGCTCAGCCAGAAAAAGGATAGAAAGTCTGGTTTGTTTGGGCCTCTTCAGCCTAAAATGGCTCCAGTTTGCAAAGCTGCACCTGAGCAAACCATAAAAGTTCACACTGCACTGTGTGTTAGTTTTGTGTAAGTTTTGTGTAAGATTTGTGTCATTTTGTCTATGTTTATAAACTTTTCGCTCCTGTTTTGTCAATCCATTTACACATTTTGAATATCTTTTTTAATGTTTTTTTCCCTCTACTCTAAATTGTCATCACCTTTTTGTATTTTCTTGAGTGATGTGTGTTTGTTTTTTCTGTTCAATGCTTTGTTTTTAATCATCTGTGCTCCTTTCCTTTTCTTGTTGGGGATTTTTCTGTCAATGATAAATAAATGATAAATGATGTATTGTTGCATTGTGCCTGTTTTGGTCATTTTGTAACATTTCATGAATAAAACCTAAACATTATGTATGTTTTTCCACAACTAAAATCATTTCTGTTGCACTTATATGACAAAATGACCTAAAATATAAGAGCCAAACCTCTTCCCTGGATGCGTTCCTCTTGTTTAAGTGAAGGGAAACTGCTTTTGATGCCCCCTGGTGATTAAACCTTCACCTTAGAACTGGATCAGCCAGCATGTCCTAACGGAGACAGCCTCTCTGAGTCCGGTTAATGTTTAGCAGCGCTGCCTTCCTGTGAAGGCATTTTATGGAAATAACACAAGAGTCTTTCTATTGGGAGTGTGTGTGTGTGTGTGTGTGTGTGTGTGGGGGGGGGGGGGTGAGATATAATGATAGTTATCTCACTCAGACTGGAGCAGTGATGCAACATCAGGCGCTCAGATATCTGCTGCTGTAGTTTTTAAAGCCACTGTTCAACATTATTCCACTTTTTTGGCGTTTCAAAAAAGAAGCCGAAGCTCTTTTACCCGTTCAAGAGCAAATAAAATGAAATCAAGTCGTTTATCTGTAACAATCTCTGTAACTCCAACAGATGGCTAAAATATGGCTAATATATGTGGTTTTGAATC